TGACTAATGTTGGGCTTTCTATCATGCCAAAGTTCATAAGGAGTTTTTTAAGAATAGGTCTAATTAATGCACAATTTAAAATATAGCATGCGGTGTGAACGGCTTCGGCCCAAAAATATTTAGGAAGATTATTTTCGCAAAGCATTATTCTACTCATCTCTTCTAAAGTTCTATTCTTTCTTTCTACTACACCATTTTGTTAAAGGGATCTAGGTACTGAAAAATTATGTCCAATACCATGTTATCACAAAATAATTCAAATTTCTCATTTTCAGGTTCTCTACCATGGTCGGTTCGAATATTAGTAATAAGAAAGCCTTTTTCATTTTGAATTCTACGACAGAGTTTTGTGAAAGAAGAAAATGTTTCATCTTTGTGTGCTAAAAACATAATCCATGTAAATCTTGAATAATCATCAACAAAAACAAGACAATAACGTTTACCACCTAAACAAGATGTCCTTGAGGGAGCAAATAAATCCATATGCAATAGTTGTAAAGGTCTAGTTGTGGAAATATGAGATTTTGATTTAAATGATGTTTTAGTTTGTTTTCCTTGTTGACAAGCACTACAAAGATGATCTTTTTCAAATTTAATTTTTAGAAGTCCAATGACCAAATCCTTTCTCAAAAGTTTAGTAATTAAATCCATATGAGTATGACCAAGTCTTCTATGCCATAATCAACTATTTTCATTATTAACATATAAACATTTAACATCACTAGCATAGAGATCATTAAGATGAAAAACATAAACATTATTATGGCGATTACCAACGAATAAAGCTTTATGATCATTTGTGCTTTCAATTGTACAATGTGATTTATCAAAAATAACTTGATTAGCTTTATCACATAATTGACTAATACTAAGTAGGTTATGCTTAAGTCCATTAACAAGTATAACATTTTTAATAGAAGGGTTAGGAGAAATACCGATGCTACCAATACCAATGATTTTTCCTTTCTTGTTGTCTCCAAAAGTAGCAAATCCTCCATCTTTCGATAATAGTTTAGTAAAGAATGATTTATCTCTGGTCATGTGTTTGGAACATCCACTATCAAGGTACCACTTCCCTTGTTTAGCTTTGGACTTAAAGCAAACCTCATCTTGAGTAAAGTCTTCATCTTCAAGAGCCATGAAACATAAGTTGGCTACTTCATTTTCAATTTCATCACTTGAGCTTTCATCTTCACTTTCTTCCCAAGCTGCTACCATGGCCTTTTTGTTTTTTTGTAGTCTTTTCTATGATTTTTCAATTTTGAACAATCCATCTTCATATGTCCAGGATTTTTACACTCATAGCAAATAATAGGCTCTTTCTTGTTATCTTTGTTGTACTCTTTCTTGAAGGTCTTCTTTCTCTATAATTGTTTTTCTTGAAGTGCTTTTTGAGATTTCTACTAAACATGGCATAGCTTTCAGCCTCACTGGAGTTTTCATGTTCTTCTTCATTTGATGAAGCTTTGAATGCAATTCCATTTTTCTTTTTGTTTTTAACATCCTCATGTCCTTTCATGGTGATCTCATGAATCATAAGGGAACCCATAAGCTCATCCAATCCAAGTGTAGAGAGATCTTTGGCTTCTATAATGGCGGTGACATTTGCTTCCCAATTCTTTGGTAAACACCTAAGAATTTTTCTTACCAACTCACTATTAATATAAGTTTTGCCAAGAGATTTCAAAGAGTTTATAATTTCAGTAAATCTAGTAAACATATTTGAAATAGATTCATCAGAGTTCATTTTAAACAATTCATAACTATGAACAAACATATCAATACGAGATTCCTTTACTTGGTTTGTACCTTCATAAGTTACTTCAAGTTTGACCCAAATTTCTTTTGCTGAATCACAACTTGAAATTTTATTATACTCCTTAGAGTCTAATCCATAAACAATGATGAGTTTGGCTTTAGCATTGGCTTGCAATAATTTGTGATCCCTCTCATCACATTCATCTTCAGTTTTAGGTACACTAATATAATCTACTAATTTGGTAGGAATTTTTAGACCTTTGGTGACAATAATCCACATAGCATAATCAGTGACTTGTAGGTATAGGGTCATCTTATCTTTCCAATGACTATAGTTGTTTCCGTCAAATAATGGTGGCCTATTGGTGGCTTGTCCTTCAGTAGTGCTAGTGCTAGCTAAGGTTGCCATGGATCGAAACTCTCAGATGGTTAAATCTAAAGCAAGAGTCTAGGCTCTGATACCAATTGTTACCCAAAAGACAACAGAGGGGGTGAATTAGGTTTTTATAATTAAAATTAATAATACCCTAATAAAATAAATTATAACTAGCACAATAGATAAATATAATTCATGAAATAAAAATAATTAAAACAAGTGTCTTAACAACTGTGTCAGTTAATGATTTTAGCGCAGTAAAAATGTGAAATATAGCTATGGCAATTTAAAATAAAATAAAGAGACAAGAGAGAGAGAGAGGCAAACAAATTTATAGTGGTTCGGTTTCAACTCGGCCTACGTCCACTCCTCAAGCTTCACTTGAGATTTTCTACTATCTTCGAGCTTCACAGGGGTGCTAGCTACCTCTTTATAAATGGAGCAATCCTCCACGGATTTTACACAGACTTCACAAGCCCAAACCCTTGCAAATCTTAGGTGATTCACAATCACTCTCAAAATTTCAAGAACACAGTTTTGTAACACTTTTACAAGATGAAATGTATTTTTACTTTCAAAGAAAGCTTACAATAAATATCTCTCAATGATAGATATATCAAATGAAGTTTGGATTTTTCTGTAAATCTCACACAAAAAAGATGAGCTTAAAGCTATAAGGCTCAGTGTATAATTTCTGAGAATAGATGTGAGTGATTATAAATCAAAGAATATTTTCAGGTTTTTTTTGTAACTTGTTTACATTAGATGCTTTGGTAGGTATATATAATAAAAATTATAACCGTTTATAGCCGTTGTATTCATTTAAATTTATAGCCGTTTATAGCCATTGTAGTCATTTGAATTTATAGCCGTTTATAGCCGTTGTACTTCCATCATTACCAATTTAAATATCTTACACTCCATCATTACTAATTTGAATATCTTTCACTTGAACCTTTTGGCCTGCTGCTGTACTGGACTGTTTGAACCTTTATTTTGGGCTATTTGAACTCTTGATTTAATCAAATATTAAATACATTCTAACAACATTTAGGATAAAGGTTTAGGTAAGAAATAATAGGACAAAATAAATTTTGATTCTATTTTTCTCTTTCAAATAAATCATCAAAATAAATTTTGATTCTATTTTTCTCTTGCAGATAAATCATCAAAATAAATTTTGATTAAAATATAATTAAACAAATCATCAAAATAAATTTTGGATTCTATTTTTCTCTTTCAAATAAATTAAAACATAATTAAATAAGTCATCAAAATAAATACGTCTAATACCAATTAACAAATATCATGATATCACAAACTATTAAAAGTAAAAAATAAAAAAATAGTGATAAACAAACATAAAATCAATACAAGAAAAATTATTAATAATGATTTGGTTGGATTTTGATCTTATCACTTTATAATAAAGAATTCATTGACATATTTTTTTATTATACAAAGCACACCATCACACCATTTTAGGATAAAAATTTACATAAAAATTCTAGTGAAATAATATTTTCCAACAAAAAATGGTTATAAGGAAAAAAGAAAAAAGAAAAACAAATAATGATTAGTAGAGAGTAGATGGAGAAATAATAAACAAAATACAAAATGCAAAAGTGAAAAATGGTTAATAAAAAAGGACAAAATGGTGTAGTTATTAGTTTTTGTTTGGCAACTCACTGTCTTAGCTTAAAAGTTAAAAAGTCACCAAAAAAATTTAAAAATCAACAATTTATATCAAAAAGTCAAATATTCCATTTTCTCTCTACTTTTTGCACATATTTTCATAAAAAATCAAAAAGTTATTCCAAACATATTAATTTTTTTAACCTCATATTTTGATCAAAAAATTAAAAAGTTACTAAAATAGTCTGTTCCAAATGAGGCCTTAAAGGATAAAAAAAGTCTGTTAAAGGATGCAAGAGACTAAACATAAACTAATATTATATTGTCTCAGATAGAGAAAAAATAATAAGTCATTGCATGAATAAAATATTTATAGAATGAGGATGACGTAACTAATTTGGAGAGGGTGTAATGTATGATGGCTAAAATTTATGGGTAGGAGAAAGAATTGGTTAGAGAAAAAGTACACAAGAAAATTTTTCTTCATTTTTCTTTTTCTAAATCACAAATCGTGGAATCATTATAGAAAATGATAAATTATTGTTTTTTTATTTTTAAATTATTTTTTAGGTTTAAAAATTCACAAATTTAGTATGGGATGTTAGAGTTCTAAATCAACCAAAACAATTCAATTATAACTAGTTTTCAAAATTAATTATAGGGAAACAAAATTAACTAAACAAAACAATTTAAACAAATTAAAATTGATTTTTGTTTAATTTTTTAAGGAATGTAGAAATTTTAGGTAGATTTTAAAGATAGACAAATAATTTGAAAGGTCAACAAATCGTATTTCTATATTTGATTTTAGGAAGAAAAAAAAATAACTTTTAGGTAATGATTTTAGGAGATGAGCTTGAAGAGTTTTGTTTTTTAATTTATTATTTTAATTTAAAAATTATGTGAAATACATATATAGTTTATTATTATTTTAAATTAAAAAAAGTAAAAAAATTGAAGTTGAGCACTTCATTAAAAAAAAAAAAAAAATTTATAGTTATAGATTATAAAGTTTCGAAAAGATTTATACACCTTATAATTAAAGAAGAAAATTATATAATTTTATATTTTTAGAGTCATAACAAAAAAAAATATAATTAAATAACACATAAAATATTAGTAAAAATACTATAAATCATAATTAAAAAGAAAAACAAAAATCAACCTGATATGCATACGATAAAGAGGTGTGTAGTATAGTAGAATTTCCATAAAGGTTTCCAGCAAATGGGAAGTTTCTCGTCCACCGCTCCACATCACCGTCTGCAGAGTCTAGACAAGCAACCGACATTTTCCACGAAACCCCCATCGCGTTCACATCACATAATTTTAGAGAGAGAAAAAGAAAGAAAGAAAGAGAGAGAAAGAACTTGAGTCGTCCATAATTCTTCGGTGGATCATCTTCTTCGCCGTATATTTACTTCATCACTCGATTCGCGCTCCTTTCTCCGCATCATCATCACCATTACATGCTCTTCCTATACTCTTCCTTCCCCATTTCTTAGCTCAATCATCCGCATACTGTCCAATTCCATTTTCCTTTCTTTCTATCTAGTTACAAATTACAATCAATTCATAATATTTTATTCACCCAAAAATTCATAATATTCATTCTTTTTTTTCTTTCTAAATGGACGAGTTTGGTGTTTTGGTTGAAAGTATTGGGTTCAAGTCTCCAGTCAAATCAACCCCATTAGCCGATTTGAAGAGCAAAAACAACAAAATCAACAATGGGTTCCCTCGAAATCTCGGAATCCATTCTGGGTTCGACTCCAAATCCTCCCCTGTATATAATTCAAATTCCATTAATGGGTCCTTCAATCTTGACCTCGATGGAATTTTCCGATCCACTCGTACTCAAAAAGATCAGAATTTTGGTAACTTTGATGGTTTTGACGATGTATTTGGTGGACCTATTAACACTTCCAAGCCATCTGCTGGTGGTGATGGTTTTGATTTGGATTCCATTTTTAAGGGTTCTAATAATTTTGGTGTCAAGTCAACTGTATATAATATTGATGATGATGATATCTTTGGAGGTATTGCAAGGTCTAAGAGCTTGGGTTCGGGTAATTATGATGATGTGTTTGGGTCTTTTTCTTCGCCATCGAAGCAGAGTGCTCAAGTTTATGATTTGTTAGGAGATTTTGGTGGAATGGGGTTGAGATCAAATGGTTCGGGGAAGAAATCGGGAAAAGTGGAGAAGAATGCTCGGGACTTCGATGATTTGATACCGGGTTTTGGGGGAAGCAGCCATTCGAGGAATGGGTATGTGTTAATTTCCATATTGATTATTGACTTTGTTTTGTTTTGTCAATCGAATGCCAATGTTTTAGCTGAGAAGTTCTGTTTTTTTGCATGTAAATCAATGAAGAAGTTTGAATTCTTTAGGAATTTTAGGAAGTTATTGAAAATTGGACTGGTGATACAATTTTTTTCAATGTTTGAAATTCCAAAAAGGGATTTTTGGCTGAAATAAATAAAGAATTTGATTAAATTTGGAAAATTGTGATTGAATGAGCAAAAGAAAAACAATTATTCCAAAACTATATCAGTTTCAATCTGATCAGGCATATGGGAGATTATCATTCTAGATTCATGACAGTAGAGCGAGGTGCTCCTATATTCTAGTGGCGTCTTGTTATAATTGTTATAGGTGAAGTTAGGCGTGGTTTGGCCTGTGGGGCTTCTTGTTGGGGTGCATTGTCTCCCCATTGTGCTTGCACATACAAGACTGATTAACATGAATTTACCTCCTCTCTATCAGATTGTCAATAATAGTAATGATTTTATTTACCATGTGCTTACTGCATGCCAAACAAAAAAAGGCCACTTTGGTTGGAGCTTTAATACCCCATATCACCCTCCAAGGGAAGGAAGAGACTCTTCTATGATCCAAAAGAGCCTCATAATAGGAGTTCACAGATCCTGAATATCATCAGTAAATATACGGGCTTTTGTCTTGAAGCATTAATCTCTTCCATCTTGAAGTTTAATCATGGTCAATACGTTTAGTCTCATTCTCTAGTTTTTTGCACAGAGGAAATTCAGAATCAAGCTGGTCTACACTATCAAGTGGTCATTCAGCTAAATCAACCTCCACTTCAGTAGAAGACCCTTTTGCTGTCTTTGAATCTTCCCAAAAGGGAAGATTTGAGACAAGTGCACATGATTTCGACTCCGTTTTCAGTATGGGTAATCAATCATGGAGTCAGTCCATGCCTAAGTCTCCGACAGCAGTAAGAACTTACAACTATAAAAAGTGCCGTGTTATATTGAGTTGTTGTCAAGAAACCAGCAGACTAATTTTACTCCTTTGTGCCTCCTATGATTCAGGACCCCGTGTTTGATTCACTGTTCCAAAATAAAGGAGGGCCTAGAGTCTCTCAGACCTCATCCAGCACAAAGAAGGCTTCTCCCCAGACAAATATTGGTCATGAATTTTCTTTTCTTTTTGGAGGTAAAGTTGGTGGAGAGTGATTTTTATTGTGGCAATGCATATGTTCTTTTGATGCATCATTGCTATTGATGCTAATCTATGATGCACGGACATGGATACGGAATACAACACAGACACGCGAACATGCAAATTTTTAAAAAATTGGGGGCATGACACGCTGGGAACACGTTTAATATATATATAATTTTATTTATTTATTATATGTCTAAAATTTTTTTAAAAAAAAATCTATACATCTTGAGGCAAGGCGCGTAGCCGAGACCTCCGGGAACTCCAAACGAACACAAACAGGGGTAATCACCAAGTGTTCCAATGGTGACGTCCAAGTTTTGAGGACGGTCAAAAATGGGGTGTCTACAGTTCGGAACGATTAAATTTGATTAAAATAATGCTATTTGTTTTATTTTGTCAATTACCACTTGTTAGGCCTTTTGACCCCACTAAGTTGCCTTTCTCATTTTCATTCCTTCCATAACTAATGCAAGAAACGGGAGAGAGAGAGAGAGAGAGAGAGAGAGAGAGAGAGAGAAAGAAGTGAAAAAGGGGGGTGAAGTCTAAAAAAGGGAGAACAGAAGAGGGAGGGGAGAGAGACGAAACAGAAAAGAAGAACCAGAGCAGAAGAGAAGAAGAACAGAGAAGATGAGGACAGAGAAGACGAAGAGAAGGAAGCAGAATAGAGAAGACGAAGGACAGAGAAGATGAAGAAGAATACCTCAGGTTAGGGCTTCTTCGATTGATCTCTTTTGAACACATTAGGGCTTCTTCCTTCAATCGATCTCTCCCTCGATCTCTTTCTCTCCAATAGGTTAGGGTTCTGCGATCCACCTCACGCATGTCCGGAAAGTGTCACCGTGTGTCCACCGTGCGTCTGATTGGAAAAATTCAAAAAAAAAAGACACATTAGAGAGTGTCGGACACGTGTCCACAGCGTGTTCGACGCGTGTCCATGTTCGACACCAGTACGCAGGCCTTGGGGACGTGTCGGTGCTTCATAGATTCCAATTATTTAGTTTGATTTTTGTTGTGGCATTGCATATGTTCTTTCGGTGCATCATTGCTATTGATGCTAATTATTAAGTTTTTGTTTTGTTTTGCAAAAGATGAGCCTTCATCTAGGGAATTTCAGGAAATTAAAGGAGAAAGTGTAGAAAGACGACGAGCCAGATTAAACCATCATATGAGGACCCAAGAGCGAATGGTATGTGATTCCTCTCATTTCATTTCCCATCTAGTTATTTCATAGATTATGGGTATCCAGTTTATAGCCTCTCTTTTCACTCAATCTTGATGTACATTGAAGAAAGTTTATGGAAATGAAGTAGGTGCAATTCCCTATTGGAAGGTATAGGTGCGAAATGAAAGAGTGGTATACAATCCAAGATGAAATAATAGTGATAAACTTTCTAATCATCTGGATTTAATCATTGTGACTTTGCTATGAATTATATTGAATGTACTATTCATAAAAGGATACCACGAGAAAGTGACACTTCCTTGACAAATGCAATTATCATCTTTTCTTGAATTCTTTTTCAATGAAAACATGTATTTGCCTTACTCTTAACATTTGCTATCCTAAAGCAAGATTCCGAATAATTGTCTGCCTTTTTAGAGGCTTTTGTAACACCTGAAATGAAATTATACAGCACATTGCTAGTTATGAATACCGAATGCTTCTTGTGAACCTACTTCTTACCTTGTATGACTAATTGTATGTTTAGGCAAACGCTTTGGCAGAAAAGAATCAACGTGACTTTCAGACTCAACAGGAGCAAGAAGAGAGGAATGTAAGTATCTTTGGTGCAGAACTAAAGCTAAGCATTTTATTAAGGACTGATGAGACCTTTGTTATGTTACAAGTTGTTGGATTTTGTGAATAACTAGATTCTGATAATGAGCATGTACTTCTGTTCTAGTTCTCTCCCCGTCTGCCCCTTGCATAACAGTACATCATACCTGCTTACAGTTTTTTAAATTGATTGTTTTTTCTTTGACCTTAGCCTGCTTGATTTCAGAGGATTGCTGAAACTCTCGATGACAATATAAAGCATTGGGCTGCAGGGAAGGAAGGCAACTTGCGTGCATTGTTATCATCATTGCAATATGTGCGTTCTGACTATATAGTCTGCTTTTGATTGCTTGCCTCTTTTGTTTTGGTTGTAGCATTATTGGATTGCAGTCTACTCTTACTTTCTTGCATATTTATGTTCAGTTCTTTTTTTAATTGATGGTAATTTAGGAATTAAAATGTTATGAAGAATAAATTGGACCTTAGATTTTGCTAGATGATCAAAATTTTTATACCCATTAAAGAAACTATTTAGTTTTAAGTAAATATTTCTTGAGTTGCAAGAGAGTTAATAACCACTCTGTTGAATGATTTAAACCAAGTTTTTTCATTCCAGAAAATATTGAATTCATGGTATAGACACTCATAACCTGCCTGTGAGCCTATCGTAGAAAGGGCAGGCTTTGTTGTTTGAGCTTAAAGAAGTTGGATTGTGGTGCAACTCTATGGGAATTTTGTTGAACAAATGGTGGGTAAATAAATATTCTGGATTTTATTTTATTTTCATATATTATTAGAAGGGGGGGGGACATGGTATGTTCATGTTTCTTGCCTCATTATATTTGCTTTTCTTTTTTTCTCCTAGTATTATTCCCATGTTGTCTTTTCAGTTATCAACATCAAATTTTAAACTAAGGTACGTAAAGAAATTGGAAACTTGAAATTCCTAGCAGTAAACTTGTCTGTGCTATTGGCAAACAAAATGTGAAGTTGGTTTCCCGCATATTATCTTATGCAATGTTCTCACTCCACTCTACTTGTCCTTTTGTGTGCTCACTTGGAACAAAATCCCACACCTAGTGTGTGCCACTCCTTATTGTGGAAGAAGTTATTTTGTTCAGAGCCTTTTCTTTGGTTTTCTTTTTTCTTTTGAATTTTTTAAGAGGTGTGATTATTTGTAAGGTCTTTATGAATTCCTTTTTCATTGAGTAATGTTTTAGTTTTTGAGCACACAAACAATGTTTTTCTTTTTATTTTATATATATATATATATATTCTATACATATAAATAATACACTAGGAATTAGGAAGAACACATGAATTTATGTTGTAATATAAAACTAATCGTTTATATTTGTGTAATGATGGCTAGGTGCTATGGCCTGAATGTGGTTGGAAGCCAGTTTCATTGACGGACTTGATTACTTCCATCTCAGTGAAAAAGGTTTATCACAGAGCTACCTTATGTGTCCATCCTGACAAGGTCCAACAGAAAGGTGCCAATGTTCAACAAAAATATACTGCTGAGAAGGTTTTCGATCTTCTTAAGGTATTTTACTGATATTCTTATGATTTTATCAAAGATACGAGAAAAATAATTGGACCACGTTGGTTTCGCATAAAAATATTTTAATTATAAGATGATATTATTTTTATAAGCATTAATTTTTAGAAATTGTTAATTTATTAAAAAACCTTAATTATATTAAGGTCCACTTGGTTGAGTTTTGGTCATTGATCGCCTTGAATTAAAACTGTCATATTAGTCCTTGTAGTTCCTTTGTGAGGTTGTTCCTGAGATAATTATTTATGTCGAGATGATGCTTTACAATGAGCCATCTTTTCCCTTCTATATTTGGGACTCAAGGACACATGCCAACACCCGTTAAAACGCATCAGGAGACACTGGTAACCTTAGCGTGAGAGACAGAGATGTGTCATTTTCCATGAATCCCAAAACAATGATAAAAAAGTGACATTCCTCATTGAATTATATTTGGGGGAATTTACATCCCAGTGGGACAAAAAACATTTCTTACATGAATATGGCCACAAAAATCTTTCACTCACACCCCATCATAAAACCGCTTGCACCCTACATTTTGTTGTAATTTTTTTTTTTGTCTATCCCACTGTTTTGAAATTCCCCCATTATATTTCCATGCAGGACTAATGACTATAGATCATTTTTTAAAAGTTTTCACTTTTGTTTGGCAATGTAACCTTTTCCTTTAAAAAATAAACATCATGATTAGTTCTTCTTGTGTCAATTCCTGAAAATAATCCACTACAATTCTTACATTTACCTTTCACTGATTTGTGCTTCTTTTTGTTTGATTTTTTATTTTAATATCAAAACAGGAAGCTTGGAACAAATTCAATTCAGAGGAACTTTAAGTACAAATGTACAATGGTTGAGCCAGCTAAATTGTTTCAATGCAAATGGGCTTCGTGATGAACTGCTCTATCAGAACTTGGTTCCCTACAGAGAAACTTAGCTTAGAACTTGGCTCCCTACAGAACTTAGCTTGAAGGTAGAAATCCACGGTGTGTAGAAGTACGGTTCTGTCAGTTGCATATTGGAATTGTTGGTGGTTGCCGTGTAGTACTAATATTAAGATATAGAGAGAGTGTTAGGTGCATGATCTGTTGAATGAATACCATTTTTTTTTTTTTTTTTGATATTGGAATTGTTGAATGAATACCATATTAATGCTCGTTAACAGTTGTGTGTGTGGAGATTGATTCTTTTTCATTTTTAACTTAAAACTATAGTTCCTTCCATGTCTTTCCTTATTTGGTAATCCCATTTAGCAGTGCAATCCGAGTTTTTATTTTTTTATTTTTTTTAGCTTGAACAACATAATATTAAACTCTCTTCAAGCCTAGGCATTATTTTTCATACCTGAATTAAATTTGGGTCACACCTGGGCAGACAATTCAGAAACTAGAAACCCAAATTCTATATGTATCCATTATGTTATATATATATTTAACGGCATTACCTTGGCCAGAAAAATCTCAGCAAAATTAGCATACAGGGAGATTTTTTTAGTAGGTCTGGTTGCTTCTTGAGAGTTACATTCAGAACACCCTCTACTTGGTACACGTACAAAAAATTGTAGTGATATTTGGAATGAATTGCTGCACATTTTTGCTGTTTGTCATCACCCCCACCCTATTTCAGTCTCTTGTTTCACAACTGTCATTCCCTTGTTTTCATCAGCAGAAAGTTACTTCTGCTTAAATAAAAAACACAAGTTTCACTAAAAATAGAAAAAAGAAGACAACCACATGTTCTCCGCAGCTCTTTTCTTTTTATAAAATTGTGTTTCCTTTTCTGAACAAGTAACGCAGCTGTTCTATCTGCCTGAATATTAGGGATGTAAGAAAAATCAAACTGAAAAAATTGACCAAACCGATTGAATCGAACTGAATTAAACCGGCTATATTTGGTTTGGTTTTTAACAAGAATCGATCTGTGTGGTTTTTAAATTTAATTTTTTTTAATTTTCGGTTCGGTATCGGTTTAAGCACCTTGTACACCGATTTAAACCAAAACCGCCCGCTTCAACATATATATGATCTAATAATATAATAATATTAATAAGTATAATAAATAATTAACTTTAATTAATTAACCTTATCATTTTTATAGCCTATGTTTGTAAACTCTTATTATATATAATCTTAACTAACTCATTATTCTTGAAACATTAGTATTTTCAAAAAAAAAAATTATTTTTATTTTTGTTAATTTATGAATTGAAAAGTATGTATTAAATAGATTGATTGGATATGTTTGAAGTAGTAAACAAATAACTAATTTAATATTTTTATATAGATTAATGATAATATATTTAAAAGTGACTTAAGTTTAAAAAATTCTAAACCGATTAATCCACACCAAACCGAACCGTTTCAATCGATTTCGGTTCGGTGCAATTTGATGGGCGAAGTGGTCTATATCGATATGCAAAATAATAAAACTGACATTACCTTTTCGGGATAATTTTTTATCTAAATACCAACCGTACCGAACTGATTACATCTCTACTGAATATGGTAGACACAATCTTGAGTCGTCTGAGAGCATGGAACTAGGACAACAAACTATGTAATATTTTGGAACCCATTTATGGCACTTTGAGCACATTCTCCATTGGAGAACCAAAAAAAAAAACAAAAATAAAAAAGATGGCAAAACAGCCTAGGTTTACAATGGATTTGAGCTCCTAATGAACCGAGTGCCATTAGCTGAACACTGATACCAATTCAAATCCCACCTACACAAATCATTACTTATGACAAAAAAGGAGACGAGAAATACACATGGCAAACAAAAATTACAGCTGTGTTACCTCTCATCAAGATAGAATTATATTCTTTTTCCAACATGACATCAAACCTTTAATTACACAAGTAAAAAAAAAAAATTGGTCAGAAATGAATGAAGCCGTGAGAAAATAAACAGAGAGAAACAAAGATTTGTGTTACACAAACACCTTCATGGTGTGAAGGTCCTAATTGAGCTATATCATATCAGCTGGACTGTTCAAAGTATGGAGGAGCAGCAGCAGCAGTAGTCAACGGAATGCTTGGTTTTTGGGACTTGTGTCGTTCCTCACCCTGTGCAGATGTTAACTTCTCTGGACGTAATTGAGATTCACCCAACTCCAATTCTGGCTTCCTCCTGACCTTCTTCTTTATTAATGCATCCATTGTCCTCGTGTCATTGGGATTATTTGAGCTACCCTTTACTTTCTCCTGTTTTGGCCGGTCCAAGTTGGGGCCATTCACTAAGGTACTGGGCATCCGAACAGTCATATTTGTTGCTGTTGCATTGGGCACCGGCCTGCTGAGTGAAGTTGAACTGTAATTGTTAGAATCAGTAACCAATTTTTCTTGTGTATATTGTGGCTGAGCAACAGAACTAGTCTCAACTTGAACAGTCTCCCCAGTCCTTGGAATCAACTTCTTCCTCCTGATTTTCTCCTGAACCTAAACGTAAAAGAATATATACATCCATCAATCCCAAACCAGAGTTAAATGGCAACTATACAATGAAGCATTTGCCAGCAGAAGTATGCTTTCCAAAGGTGTCCTACATTACATATAATAGTATCACCAATAGACAGACATTTGACTATATTTGTGTCACATTCATGGTTTCCCTATCATGGTTGTGAATTGAAGTGTAAGTATTTCTACAGAAATTAACATAGAAGCAATTTAAATTCAATGCCCATTGCCTATGATAAATGAAAGTTTTATTAGGTCAATAAGACATTGACTATATCCAATTGGATTCTAACACAAGTATCAGTTAGTTTTCAGGGTTTGCTAGCAAGAAGAGAAACTCCAGTAGTTGATTCCTGCCTAGACCATTGGAACTTAAAATCATGCATAAAACAAGAGCCCACCAAAATGTTCCCTTGATGCTACCCTCCCAAACACTTCCATATGCACGCTGTGACCTTGAGATTGAGAAAATGAATTTAATCCCTACCAGATAAACAATAAAATAAATGCCAAGGGAGCAAGATATTACATCTCAAACAGAACTCAGGTCATTAGCCATCCCAAATCATATCACACAGAATGCTCGCCAAGTAAACTACATAAAAAACATCTATTTAGCTTATGAACCATGTAGTGCTGCAACTCCAACAGATGGGTTGGACTTGTAGGTCAATCAAGACCCCCGCCCCTAGTCGAGCAGGTTGCCCAAGGTCATAAGGGTTCATCTGATTGGCGCAACATTTAGCCTCCTTTAAAATGTCATTCTTTGACTATGAATACTCTATAACATCTATTACAGATGGAAGGATCATGAAAATCACATCAAAAAAAAACTTTGAATAACAAAACAGTTCAAGTTGCCTGAATCTCAACCAAGTTCAACTATTGTCTAAAAGCTTTCCAGGCTACTGACAGGTTTGGTTGGGATTTGACCACATAAGTTACAGCAGTGCCCCACTAATATACTGTTAACCCTAAAACACATCCACTCCTGCATATCCATGCAATACCTATGGCCTGATAGAAAGTCTGCTGTTCCACCATCAGCAGGCATCTCCAAATGTATAAGAAAACTAAGCAATGGAATACTTAATACATGCACAATATTGACTCATTTAAACTCTATGCTCAGTGTGTTGAAGTTTGCACACTCTAAAAAAGGATCATTGAACTTTCTATGACGAAAGGGGCTTTAGGCATGCTAGAAACATTTTGAACGTTAAAAATAAAAAATAAATAAAAAAAACCACCTTAATCTAGTTCAAAAATGAACATAAAATGAATATGGGGCAATTTACAAGAATTCATAATGGTACTTGCATTTTTTATTAAAATATATATATACAATATGGCCATGGTACTTTGTTGGTGTTACCAATTCACTGGATTTTGCACGTACATATTTTCTTTAATTCTTTCATGCAGAGACACATAACCATGTCCTTGTGTATAAATTCAGGCTAGATGTATCCCATAGCCAACATACATATCCATTAAAGAAATAATTCAATACCATCTATTTCTTTTCTTCTTTTTCTTTATTTAAATGCAGAGACACAGAAACAGAGATATACAAGTTAATTCTTGTGATGTCAAACAATTTCTCTGTTCATAACTTTAACTAGATCTCAATCAAGTAACTATAACTCTATAGTAAATGTAGGCTAGTATGAATGCATAAAGGTGCACATGGAGAAGCAAGAGCTTAATAAATTTTGTTCCGATCCACAAAGATTTAATAAAAGTAGGAATTACAAGCTTTACTAATATGAAGTCCAGCAATACTAGGCAATAATGGAATGTATGTATGCAGCAAATGAAAATGTCAATACCTTATGCCGACTGTACAGTGCCCTCTTCCTGTCTTTTGCCCTGCATATAGCACGTTTAATCCCATGGTTGTCCATAAATCCATCTGGCCATAATTCTGCAAGCTGCATAAACAATGACAGAATCAACAAAAAAATGTCAAATAAGTTTTTGAGCAGGCACAACAGAAAATAATTTACAACCACTCAATGTGAAAGGAACAAAGAGGAAGACGATACAAATCGGGAATTTCTAGTTTAAGAAAGAACAAAGACCAAAACATGACAATTGTCTTGTGTCATTCAAAGGCAAGAAAATTGATGTGGGAGAATTTAATTGGCACATTTTGACATGCAGACTAAAATATAATCACATTTGGCCAAGATCAGAACTCTTTCAGTTTGTTACACAGCCACCTATGCGTTCTGCTGAAGTGTTTCACATGAAACACCATCAAAGCAGGCACATAATTCTGGAATAACCCTTCGTACTCTCAACATAATTAAAAGAAAGCACAAGCCAACTACCTCTGCATACAACTTTCTCACTTGTGGTCCTGCATCTTCATCCAGCCCCTAGAACAGAATAAATCCTAAGTAGGATACAGAGAGAAAAATCACTTGAACAAAGCAAATACACTAAAAGGGACAATTTCAAACATAAGTCAATACTTCAACATAAAGGTCATAGAGATCACAAATCTTGTCCTCCAATGCATCATCCATGCTATATTTTCTTTTAATGACTTCTTTTTCTTCTTTGCAAATTTCCTGAAAATCATCAGATGATCCAGCTTGTTGCTCAAGTGCCTGAAACAATATATCATACATTTGGAAAATCTAGATTTATAAAAGAACCTATCATCAATATGCTGCACATGCATCAGCTGGAAACAAATATTCAAGATTATTGTTTCTGATAAATAAGCTTTTCTGCATTAACATTGAATAAATTCCTCACTCATCAAAAGCCTCAACAATATTACTCCCAATAGTAATAGACAACAAAAGGCTCAGAGTACCTTGGACTTTATATAGGGCACCCGCACTCTAATCAGCTCAGCAACTTCCATCTTCATCTGCTGAAATCTATGATCTTTCTCCTTTTTGGCTGACAAGCCCACATTAACCATGATTTGGAGGTTTCTCTATTGAAAAAAACATATTACATTAATCAATGGCCGACATGATCACAGTAAAGCAAACAGTTATAACAAAGAATAATGACAACTAAAGGATTGCCACATGACCTCTTTATTTCAAATTTGCCATTATCCTAAACTGTTTCAACCAATAAAAACTGTATTTTGCTTAATTCAAAGTGGCCAAATTCTATTTAATCAAAGATTTTAAAACATTATTATTGTATCCAATCCTGCTGTGAGCTGTTGCAATCTATGAAGCACCAACACTTCAAAATAAGTGTCGCAGCTGTGTCGAATACATATGGGACATGGCAGGGGCATGTTCTAACATGCCACATTGCGTGTTCATTGTTTAATTTTTATTTATTTTTTTTTAATTAGACAAGGCGGCAACATCCCTAGCGCAACATAGATATCATCTCTAGATAATTTAAATTCAGGGTGATTTTTATGATAAATTAGTGTTTGTTTCCATTAATTTTTGGTTGTTTATAAATGTAATATTTAAACAGATAGAAATAAAATATATTTTTTGGTTGTATCCCCACCATGTTTGTCTCTTGATTTTTTTGAATCACCACGCTCCTAGTAGATAGCTTGATATACATTGTTAGGCTTATTTCCTAATAGCTTAGGCTTTTGAGAAAATTGATAACTTAACATGGTATCAAAGCTCTGGTTGAGAGAAGTCTTTGGGTTTAAATCTCTCCGTTGACATTTGGTATACTGTCCCCGTTTGGTTTCGTCCTCTTTGTTTGGTTGTTTGCTTCTTTATTTGCCTCTCCACACGCAAGACAGGGTTGCACGTGAGGGAGGGTGTCAGATAACTTGATATACATTGTTGGGCCCATTTCTTAATAGCTTAGGGTTTTGGAAAAATTGGTAACTTAACAGTCCCGTGTCCATAACCATGCTTCAAAGGTTGCAATTTCTTCAAATTAGGTACATTCTTACATAACTTGCTACTACTAAATTGCTAAGGACTGTTTTCTTTGTTAAATTTTATAAACATGCTCCAATAGTTCCAAAAACCTTATCTTGATTTTGTTGGTCACTCGCAGAATGTGGGCTTCACACACCCATGGAAAAAAAGTGCATGTTTGATGTGTTCCCATGATAAAAACTAAGTGCTTGCTTTTTTCAGTGGGATAGTGACAAGGAATAAAAAATTCAACATTTTCGCTCAATAAGTTAAAAATGGTTTATCCCAAGATGTTTAAAGGGCACGAAGGCAGACTTGGCAAACCGCCTTTTTCCTTGCAAGATCAAATTTGATCTCTGTTTTCTCCTTTTGGGTTTAAGCATAGCACAAATTGAGTTTTCAATTTGCTTGTGTAATGTCTGTCGGGTTGGAGTTTGGGATAAGAAAAGACTTTGGTATTTAGCACCAAATACAGTTTTTTGTCGTTCACAGAGGAGAGATGAATCTCCAACAAGGAATTTTATTTTTCTATATACAAAAAAAAAAAAAAAAAAGTTTTAGTTTGAGATATTTATTATCATCAATGCCGTTGTTAAAAAAGATTAATCTTTCTTGGAATTCTCCTGTTAACAAACCATAGTTCTGTTTTTCCTCCATTCTGCATCACTTGAAGAAGATTAATCTTTCTTGGAATTCTTCAGTTATCAAACAATAGTTATGTTTTCCTCCATTCTACATATCTTGCCCATACTTCTCCATTTGTTATCTTCTCTTTCTTAATAAAATTTTATCAATCATCAAAAAGAAATCAAGTTCATTTTTAAGCTGTTCCCAGCAATTATTCACGACATTTTTCGGAACCATCCTAACAGATTTTCAAAGAAACTCCCTATTTTCTTCATGCTAACTATCATGATCACTACCCAAGCCTTCACCCAGCTAAATAAACTAACCTTGGGAGCGAGTTAACATCAACAAGAAAATGAAGCAACAGTTATTAATAAATTATTCTCATTCAAAAGAGATACCTTTAATGTCCTCAACTGCATCATGTGACCAAGAATACTCATTAGCCGATTAACCAGCTCCTTCGATATTTTTCCATGGCTTGCCTGCTGCAATCACCAAACAATATATATGAATTATTTTTCCCAACAAGACATTTTAATTTCTTTAAAGGCATTGCCAAGAAGTTAACCAAAAGAAAATGCGAGTACAAGATTAACTCCATTAGATCACAAACCAAGGATCAAATGATAATAGTCATGCTACAACTTATCCAAAAAATAATAATAATGATGAAAATAGTCAAGTTAGCTTTCCAGTACCGCTAGTCTAGCAACTTTAGCAAGCTTCTGCTTTACTTCGCTTGGCAACCTCCTCTTGACTGCCTGAGATGATACATCAGCATCCTGAACTTCCATTGTTGGTGGTCTTGCTGCTATATTTACACAGAGACAAGCAATTAACCACCTTATAATGTGATCCAATGAATTATCACCAATAAACACTACACAAAAATACTTGAACATACATTCTGCAACCATCTTCTCTAACTCCCTAATGGCCTTCTCAAGCATTGTACTTTTCGGCCTAGCACTGGAACCTTCCTTTCTCTGCAAGAGTGGAGTTTTCTGCGCAATTTTAGAAAACAAAATCAATATTGAGATATTAATATCAAATACAAAATATAATTGCTTGAATTACAATTACAAGCACCAACTGTCAAAGCTACCAAAAAATTGCTAGTGCACATACACACAAACTCAAACAATAAATTACACTAAGGAGGATCTAATGAAGACAAGTGCAACAGATTGATGAATTAATTTTCTCTAACACTAATAGGCACATAAAATATCTCAAGCACACCTTCAACTTTGTACAAAATAAATGGCTTCAATTTTTCTAGATCTTGTATTTCACAAAACTTATAACCAGTCAACAAGGTGGTTATTAGACAGTGCTGCAAGCTAAACTATCAACAAAATCGTGCAAAACAGACATCTGTTGACATATGCATAACATATAACTATTGGTGCACAAGGTTTGGGTTGGTTCAATTAACACTGAATAACAAAGGTTGTGCCTAGTGAACAAGCCTACCATTAGAAAAGAAACTAGATAATAAAATAAAAAGGAAATTAAGATTTATTAAAGTCATAAAATAAAGGGATAATTGCAAAAAAATGATATAAACTCAAAATAATTACAAAGAGATGGAAGTACAAGATTTAGTTTCACAATTTAATGCATAAATTGGTTGTACTTCCATGACATTGCAGTTGTTTTGTGTTGATGCCACTTTTTTGCAATTCTCCCTAAAATAAAAGCATTCCAACTTTCAAGTAATAAAGCTACTTGTGTATATATCCAGGCCATACAACTTCCCAACTATTTGAGCAAGTTAACCTACATAATCATATAAACAATACTAATAAAAGTGTAATTATAATAAACCATGTGCCTATGAAATTGCTTCAGCATAAGGCATAAGCTTCATACCAAATCAAAGACAATCATCAACCTAGACTTTAGCATATGTTCACTATAGAAGGAAAGGTATATGAAATTCTTATTCACAGAAAACAGATTCAACGGTCAATCAATAGCAGTACATTTTTTTTTATCAGTAACAGTAGTACATTTTTGTTCAGGTTGTTAACATTCTTGACACCTCCATAACTCACTTCAAAACAATGCATGGCTTTTACCATCCACAGCCATAATGATGCCATGTAGACACAAAAACCAAAAAAACAAAACAAAACAGAAAACGAAAAAACAAACACACTAACACACAAAACAAAACTGAAATTTCATGTTATCTGCATAACATTGATCAGATGGATCTTGATAAAAGCTAAGCCACCCCAACGTGACAATCTGAATCTTTTACTGTTTGAAATGGCAATAGAAGCGATAAAGTTAAAATTTACATTGAACGAACTCACACAAATCAAATTCAGCTTGCAAGAGCAGGGAAAACTGTCAAATTTCTTAAAATTAAAATAATCTTTAAAAAAAAAAAAACAAGAAATCCCTTAACAGGGCAAATTTGCACGGATCAAATTAATCGGCTGACGTAATGTGCATGCACAAAAAGAGAGAGGAGAAAGAGAAATCACGGAGTACTACTCACCACAGTTTGCATGGAATACTTTCCCTCAGACACATTGAGGTCAGGCCTTTCACGAATGCTATCTTTCTCTCTCCGTAGAACTGATTGATCTAACTCGTCAACATTATTCAATAATTTTCCAGAATGCAATTTGCATTGTGCATAAGAACTTTTATCATGAGACCTCTGTATTGAAGCATCAGAGATTTCACCTTCAACCTTCAATTTGTTAGCCTGGTACCTAGAAGGGGCCATTCCTGTCTTCTGCTTATCAATATCCTTTTCCTCTGCTAAAGACAATGCAGCATCACCATTTGAAACTTTGGAAGGAGGAGCTGGATCCAATGAAGATTTAGTTTCAGCAGTTTTCGTTTTAGCACAAATTACAGAAGAACTCATTTGATTCTGCGATTTCATATCCTCATGGTGTACACTAGGTAAGGCCACAACATGAGAAGCTCCAGTAATAGGCAAGGCCCCAACATGAGAGGAACCAGTAATAGGCAAGGCCACAACATGAGAGGGACCAGTAATGTTCTTCACAGCCAATGCCACTGAATTTCCATCAGCCTTCTTTCCCACTTTTACATGTTTATTTGACACATTACCATCATCACCCTCACCAGGACCTTTTGCCAAATCTTTCCTCCTCCTTTTCTTAGGTTGTTGGTTAGGCAATGAGCTAGGTTCATTTCTAGCAAAATAAAAACGAATATAACATCCATTAGGAAGAACAAACAACTAATTCAACTAAACCAAAATAAAGCATAGACCTGTTTCCTCTAGGATCTCAGAATAGTCACAAAAGTTTTTTCAACAGCTAAAGAAAAGCTAATATAACAAAATGCATTAACTTTACTAACATACAGTAAATGGAGAAGTAACTACTACCGAAAGAATTTCTGATACTATTCATAAGGAACATTGTATTCTACCTCCAATACTTGAAGCAAACAACTTTGAACAATTTAGTGGGTATTCAAATAAAAGCGAGAAAGATAGCATCCATAGCTGTAATGTTGTCAAGGATAGTATACTCTGAACTAAAAACAATTAGATAGATAATTCATACAATTGACTTACTCTTCCTATTTTATTTTGTCCTTCCTGTTCTCTTATGAATTATGCCAATGTTAGAGAACGAACAAAAAAAGGTAAAGTTTCTAATGTCTTCAAAATTGACTTAGAAATATAACACCATTTGATCTTGAAATGAATTGCAGATCTCAAGATGGTCCCGAGCTTTAGTTTCTAAAAGGAACATGTCTCCCATATTTCTATTAGATGCAAAGTACTCTTGGATGTCCTAATCATCATATTCATGCTTAATTTTCTAACTTAACCAAATATGCAAAACAAAACCTAAAACAAGGATGACTAATGAAAAATTACAGTAAAAACACAAACAGTATTAAGAAGTGGCTAGGAGAAACTCACATGCGTTCCAATTTTCCCCGATTAACAAAGAATCCATCATGTTTTATGGCTGAGTTATCAACCTGAAAATACTCATCCTACACAGCAGCAAGATAGAAACATTGCACTCAAAAATACGTAGGTTCAAAATGTTATTATGAGATCAATACAACAAATTGGAGTTGCAAAGATAAACTAGTCACAAAAAAACTAAAAAAAAACATATAACAATACCAACCAGCTCAGCATCGTCTATGAAGGAATCTTCAGTATCATATTCATCATCGTCAGGAACATCGTTAAGATCTTCCTCATCACTACTATGCTTACCCTGACAAGTACATGTTCATCTAAGATATATATACCATAATCATAAACAATTCTTCAAATTTATAGTCTAAAAGAGATTCAAATAAATAGAAATCCAAATTCATTGATGCATACCATATATAGGCGTTCTATTTTTTCAATAACAGCACTAAAACGACTTGCTGGGGGTGCATCCATCGCTTCATTTTCAGCGGGTTGTCCCTACAAAGGCAACACACAATTAAAAAACAAATATATATTTGATTCAAAACAATCTTATAATAATGCATAGAAACAGACCATGCACTTTGTTCCATATTAGATATCAAACTCAAAGAAAGTTCACATAAACACTCTATAATTAACCTTGATATCATGCCTACTCCGATCTAAAGGGCATACTGCATACATTTATGACATATACTAAGTTGAGCATGTCACTCGGAAGCTTGAGGAATGTGCAACAACACTCAATGATTAATTTACTTAAGCATGAAGAATGCAGATTAATAGCTGGTATATATTTAACAGTCATTTGATTGTGTTATTATTATCCTACAAAAGAATAAAGTATTCAAGATATTAAGTAAGCCTCTACAACATGGTAACCCATAAGCTAGCAATCATTTGACGCATTGAACATGGAATTTTTTTAGTGCAATGGCTCAGATGACAATTTCAAACATAATGAGTTAAAAACAATACCAATTAAATCACTATTATTTGCTATGTGTAAAACAATCTGTAAAAAATCAGACCTCATTCTACCACTCCACTCACACAAAACCTTTTTGCACTTAAAATAGAAGCATGTGATGAGATAATGCATGATTAACTTGACAATGGTAGTCAATAGCTTCAAAGGATATTCAATGTAATTGGTTGCATTATCTATCTATCAAAAGAACACATGCCATGATCGTGTACAAAAGGCCAACACTGCACTACTCACTGCTGGGCAATGAGCTACACTAGCTACTAGATCAATTTAAAACTCAAAAGCAAACAAGTGCAATTAAATTCTTAACGACTCCATACTTGACAAAGATTGTCCAGCAATACCTAAAAAAATCAGACAACAAAATTTTTTTTTTATCATGCGCATCAAACCTATCTTTCAAACAAATTTGGATTTGCTAAAGTTGAAGATCTAAACTTCATTGGTGATGTTGGTGTATTGTGAGACAAATTTATACCCATGTCAATGATCTAAACCGTTTATCTTATATGACAAGTTGATAAGGACATACATGCAAAAAATTTAATTGATTAGACATAAGTTATCCTATGATAATTGCACATATATTATAACAAATGGACGATTTATTTCTTAAAAAATATATAGTCTGTATAGATTAAAACTATCTATTAGTATGACAATGGATGTTGGATCAATTTAATTTTTTGCATGGATAATTTTCTTAGTTAATTGTATAAGATGAACGGTTTAGATTATTGAAGTGAGTCCAAGTTAGTTCGATAATGGGTCAACTTCACTGTGAAGTTGAGATCTTCAACTTTAACAAATCCGAAATCCTATCAATCATGCCTCAACTGAAAGAGCATCCCCTACTTGCAAACCTAACAAACCAATTAGGAACCAAAAAAAAACTATTTCTGTTATATGGGTTTGTTGATGTACCTTATATTTTTAGGGAGAACTTATCTAGTCTTAGCTACCATTCTCCACAGATACAATAGAATTTTCACTTAAGAAAACAAAAAATTAATACAACAATGTGATTCCTTACAAAACAACTAATACAAATTATCACCTCATAAACCCTAATTATCAAATATTACATAGTTAATGAACTAGAACTATCAATTCACAAATAAAACTAGAAATCAAAAAAATAGAGAAGATAATTTGAAGATTGAGAATATTGAAGTGGCTATTACCGGAGGAGCTAAACGAGACTCGAGAGCAGGATGAGCATTGGAGGGAGGTTCGGGAGCCGAGGTGGGCTTGTCAACCTTACTAGCGTCCTTCACAAGCTTCTTCCACGAAACGATTGTGGTCTCTCCTGGTCTCAATTCCACGGTGAACCTCTGCCTCCCACCCACTGATACGAACGACAACGAAGTCCTCGCCGATTTCCCAGCGCCACCACCGCCGCCGCCGCCCTTCTCGTCCTCCATCGAATAGTTTCGAAATCAAAATTGAGAGAGAGAGAGAGAGTAAACCCTAGATTGAAGGAACGGATAGCTTTAGAGAGGGAAAAGAGTGATTTTTTGGGGGGGTATTTTTGGCGATGCTGTGTGAGATGCGCGGGATACTGAAACTCCCGCTCGGATCTTTTAACCGCAATTAACCTTCTTTTTCTTCATCTTCTTCTTCTCCGTCTTCGACGATTCCGCTAACCCTTTTGCCCTTTACCTTCTTTTCTTTTTTTCTTTTTTCTTTTTTCTTTTTTTTGGACAAAAAATCTAGAATTTATGCCGTTTGACATGTGGCTTTTGTAATTGATTTTTAATTATTTGATTATTTTAATACCGGCTAAAACTTTGTTGAATCTCACATAAGTATTTTAATTAGTTTCAAACATTTTCTATTAATCTATTAAATTTTATTAGTAAAAAATTTTAAAAAAATCAAAAAAAATTTAGTATATTTTTTTTCCAAATATAATAACGTAACGGATATGATGTGACACTTCAAAAATAACTAAAAAATTTTTAATGTACTTTTTTCAAATGTGACAATGTGACGGATATAATGTGACACTCCCAAAAAACTAAGAAGTCATTGATATACTTTTTCCAAATGTGACAACGTGACGAATATGATGTGACATTCTAAAAAAAATTTAAAAATTTCATAGTGTTCTTTTTCTAAATGTGACAACATAGTGGGTATAATTTAACACTCAAAAAAAAAATTATTTAGTGTACTTTTTCTAAATGTGACATGCGACACTCTAACGTGGGGGTATGATGTGACACTCTAAAAAAATTAAAAACTATTTATTGTATTTTTTTCAAATGTGACACTCCAACGTGACAGATATGATGTGATACTAAAAAATTCCTTAGGGTACTTTTTCCAAATGTGACTCCAATGTAACAAGCAAATAAGTCATTACACATTTTAAAATGACTAATGGATCACAAAAAAAAATATAGGACTATGGTGTTTGGGAAGAATTTTAGTTGGGTTTTTTCTCATTTTTTCCACTAAAAGACAAAAAATTTACAAAATCAAAAAAAACACACTCAAACAAAATATCACATCCAACCCTATAATTATTTCACTTTTTCTCTCACAAACATCACATCCAATCACAAAAAACCCAACTATCTTCCCAAACACAAAAAAAAATTTCTTCAATAATATCCTACATCTAAAAAAACCTACATAAAAACCCACTTCCCAAACACCATCATAGATTACAAGTCCAAAATATGAGACTTATTGATCAATATCCCAAGTTTGCTTGAGTTGATTTTTTTTAAAAATTTTGGCTTTTGTAAGAAAAAAAATGAAATAATTATTATTTGGAAGTAACATTTTATCTTATTGATTTTTTAGCCTATTTTATCTTTTTGTAACTAATTTAGTCTAAAATACCAATGCCAAACGAAACCAAAATATTTAAATTCATAAAAATATTTATAATTTTAATTATTAAATTTAAATATTAAGTAATTACTGATTTAGTATTTTTTTTAAATATACATTGAATTGTATTTTTTTTAGGGTAAATTACATTGACAGCCCTTGAGGTTTGGTCCAATTACTACCCACTCCTTGACGTTTTGAAAATTATATTCCCACCCCCTGTGATTAGTAGTCTCATTTCATAAACTTCCTGCTTATATAAAAGGTAACAACTCCTACTAGAAAAACAGAGGAAATTATATTAAAAAAAAAAGTAAAGAAAATATAAAAAAAAAAGAGAGAAAATAAAGCAAAGCAAAAAAAAGAGAATACATGAGTTCAATATCTTCATTCCATTGAAATAATTACAATGACAGGAGGGTTAGTGTAATTTCCCAAACGTCAAGGGATGATATGTATTAAATCCAAACCTCAAAGAATGTAAATGTAATTTACCCTTTTTTTTAACAAAAGAAACTGCGTACAGATTAAAATTTAAATTTTGTGTGGTTGAAATTATGCTTAAAATAAATTTAATTTATATATTTGAAATAGTTGATCAAGACATTTTCATTTTACTCGCTTATTTTGAAAAAATGATACACTAATTAATCTTATTGGAAAAAGTCCTTAGTTTAATTATTTATAGATTTGAAGGACAAAAAAATATAATTGTGTGGGAGATTTTCCGACCACACTGCCCGCTTAGTAATCAACTGAAGAGTACCGGCAGAATAGATGGCTTCAGCTAACCTGTAACAGAAAGAAAGGGCTTCGGCGGTGGCTCTTCCACCAAGGGGCACTCCGACGATCAAGTCAGTATATCTCTCAAAGATAATCAATTGCCAAAATCACTGCTCAAAGCATAAAACTCATACCTTAGACCCACGGGGGTGCCTCTTTTTTATAGTTTACTCCATCCTAGTCCTACTAGAAGCTTGACTTCTATGGACTCCAATTCAATACTTACTTTGGACTCTTCAAGAGATAAAGATAAACTCCCTAAGAGCTTTATCCTTATCTTTAGCAAAGTTCCCTCTTTACTCTAAGACTCTTGTCCCTTATCTGCTTATCTCGGATTCCGATATCTTCGGAGATAACATCGGCATAACTACCACGACACGTGGCACCTCGGCTGACACGTCGGCGTCACTATACCACGTGTTGGTACTCAGAAAATATATCCCCACAACTGCCCCCTAGGTTCTATTACCTCGGCATTCTGAGGTGATGGAACCTATATCGATATCTCTTTCTGTACACTGGCTTACAAACTCTTCAGCCAAGATCATTTATTTCAAGCTGACACGTTCTCTTCGGAGAACAAGAATTCTAATGATCTTTTTCATATGTGTGAGCTGTCACGCATCATTTACTTAACCGTTTCTCTCACGCGTCTTTACCTTATTGGTCCGTGTTTGTGACGCGCTTATAAACCGCGTTTTTTTCTGCGCACGCCGCTTGACATATGCGCTGCTTCAGGCGCATTGATTACCTTTTGCCGCCGTTTTTGGTTTTTGACAAAAACTTTTCCCCCTTTCTTTCCATCTCTTCACTTTTGCATTTGCTGTTTCTCTCTCTAAAACTCGTTCTTTCGATTCCGCCATTGCTGAATCTCCAAGCTTTGCATTTGTCTTCCTGGTGGAGCTTTCGTCATTCTGTCACATCTGTAACTACCATTGACTTTGGCAGCGCTCACATCGGCTTCATTTTTTCTGGTAAGCAACTGTTCCTTCTGATTTCAATTCTTGACTGTTTCTGAAACCTCCCGTTATTACTGCTTTGCTCAAATATCCGTCTTGTGAATCATTCATCTGAATATGTTTATTCTCTGATTTGGCCCTTGCCCATATCTTTGAACACACGCACCGTCGCACCACTTTACTGCATTTTTGCCACTGTTCTTGGCTCTATAGTTCTTGTTTTCTTTATGCTTTTGAGAACCCACTTCTGTTCTTCATTCTGAAACTGCGTTCTGGTTTCTTGTTTCCTGTGTTGTTTTCCAGATCTCTATCTTGAATTTTTGCTTTCAATCTTTGCCTTGCATAGATTTAGGTTTGGGATTTGTCTATAGAACCTATCAATTCTTAGGAAAAAACTGAAACAATCCTTACCAGCATATACCTAGGGTTTCGCCGAGGTCCAGACAACCCCTTAAAAGTATTTTCTTTCTGAAACCTAGCCCTCTGATTTTAGGCCGACGTTATGGGAATGTGGAGACACAGGGTAGACACCCCGACCAAACTTGAGTACTTTAGGCAGGAGTTCTCCATCCCTGTCGATGTCCACCTAAGACTTGCTCGGGATAATGACTTTATCATGTCTACAGAAAACACCATGCCCCTTCCCATTGTAGCTTTTACTAAGTGTGGACTCCGGCTGCCACTCAACATCCTTTTTTCGCGAGATTCTTCATTATTATAAGTTGAACCCCATGCAACTGACAATCAACTCTTATCGAGTGATTTTCGGTATTATCGCCTTAGCTAAACAGAAAAACGTTAGGGTCACCTTAGCCGACATACAATACTGTTATACCATGTGCGCCCTTAATCTGAAGGAAAAAGGCTTCGCTTATTATCTTAAGCCGAGGTCCACTGAATTCAAAATCGTAGCCGACCTCCCAGACTCCAACAAGGGGGCTGGAGATGACTATGTTATTGCTTCGGGAAATTGGGAGTTTGGCGCAGACGAGGACGCCCATCTCTACCCTCTTCCCCGATCAGTTAAAGAGGGCAAGGGTAAGAGCCCAGTGTCAATACTTAGTTGTTTCTGTTCAAGTCTTCAATATTTTATCTGTTTCTAATGTCTGTGTCTTCTTGCAGACGTTCGTAAACCACCAAAAGACTTTCATCAATCTTACGTTCCTAGCAAGGACCTGAGAAAGCTCCTGGACTTGCCTGTCCACAAAAGAAAAACACCTCTTCTTCTAAACTTTATTCCCACATACAAATCCACTCTGCCCGACGTCCCGAAGAAAAAGAAGAAGAGTCTTTCTCCACCTTCTGCCACAACTCTTCCCACTGTTTCCACATCACGAGCAGACCAAGGATCCACTTCTGACCCGGCTGATCTACCATCTACTTCAGCCCCATACTTAATCCCAATACCAAAAAGAAAGCGTCGACGACGACTTGTCAAAATTGTTGAAATGGGTCGCCCGAAGCCTGTTGCTATAGATCTCTTAGCCGACCTACTTGCCGACGTTGATGCTGTTCCGACTCAATCCATGCCCCCACCAAAGCCAAAAAGAATAAAAAAGGCTCAGCCCAAGGCCAAAGCCACTGAGGTTGAGGCTGAGGATGTTCTGCCCATCTCACAATTGGCTGAGAGTAAAAGAGTGCTTCTTCTTCTGCCAAAAGGTCTGCTGAGGCCCAACCATCAGAGTCCACCAAATCAAAGAAGCCGAGGTCATCGTCTGCGACGACCTCGGGTTCCAGAATACCAAAAGTCCCCTGGACACCAGAGATCACTCTAGAGGATAAGCCTGTCCTTGCCAGCGACAACGCTGATGATATAAACGTCGGCGTGGCACTCAATACTGCTCTACTCCTCCCAGGCGATCTTGAGCGGAATGCCAAGATGAGTGAGTATGAGAACTACGCCTTTATGCTGCAACGCTCTGTCCAAGTAAGTGCCTTTGTGCTGAAATTTGTTTTCTCTCTTACTTTGTAAAATTTTGTAACAATTTGTGCCTTGTGTTCTTTCAGGTCATCCAACATGCCCACTCTCTCTCCATGCAAGCTTTTGAAAATCGACAAAGATTGGTCGACATGAAGAGGGAGGTTTCTGCCCTGAAAAAGGAGAACAAATCTCTCGAAT